TTAAAATTTCTGGATTCAGGATACTGAGGCTTAGGGTTTTCGGGTTGTGAAGGAGACTGGCATCTTACCATGAGAAGGGGACCTAGACTACTCAGGGCACCCGAACTAAACCCTAAACCCTACGTACCCTTTACCCTAAACCCTAAAGCCTACAAAGCCCGGCAGCAGCCCTTAAATCAGAAACTGTCGGGTCTCACGGCTTCTTGAAAAGCGAAGAATGCGGTGGGGGATTTAGGACATTTAGGAGTTTCTAGGCGTGTGCTGAGAGTTCTTACTAGCAGCAGGTGGCTTCGAAGCTTTGATACATATTTTTGCTCGGCGTCGAGGTGAAGGTTGTGATACCGGGGGCCTTCTGATGCTGCGTATTATTAATTTCAGTATATGCATAATCACATATGGGGAACAACAAAAAGCTGTGTGACTAATCATTCAGGCTTCCATATATTCGGTTCAACTCAACCCTAAACCCTAAACCCTACCCGACACAGCTCCTCTAGCTTCCCTCAAGAAGCTCTCTCTCCCAGGCATTCGAAACGTCCAAGCCTGACTGAGACCCTAAACCCTAAACCTTAAACAAAAGCCACGGAACCCTAAACCACTGAACTCTAAACCCTAAACCCTAAACCTTAAATAGAAGCCACTGCCTGCACCCTAAACCCTAAGCCCCTAAACCTTAAACAAAAACCACGGAGCCCCAAAAGCCAAGTAATGGTGATGCAAAGACAGCGGCACTCCCGGGTTCGGGCTTCTCGTGTGAAAATCCGCGAAGAACCCTAACTAGCCACGGTTTAGGGTTTAGGTTGGGTACTGCCCCCATACAGTAACAGTCTATAATAGGGCTACTATCAAGGGCCTATTCTATCCATAATATGAATATTATCCAACTGTTACTGAGTGGGGGCAGTACCCAGGGTTTAGGGTTCCTCAGTCAGCTAGGGTTAGTGTATAATTCTTGCCTAAACCCCAACTGACTAAGAAACCCTACCCTGTTTATGTAGCGTTTAGGGTATAGTAGGGCTTAGGGTTTAGGGTTTAGGGATATAAGCCGATGCGTCTCCTTAGAAAGGCTTTGTGGGCCACCGGTAAACCCCTTGTGTTGCGGCTCATGAAACCCAAGGATCTCACCAGGCACCCAAAGCTTCCGACACTACATAACATTCCCCTAAATAAGGGTTTAGGGCTCAGGGTTTAGGGTTTAGGGAGAAGATCATAAGGGATACTTCGGGGCTGAGTCGGCTGAGTACCCTAGCCCAAAAACGGTTAACCTTTTGATTTATAATAGGATTATATAGGGCCAAAAAGGTTAAAGGTTACAAGGAGATCAGAAACATTCTCAAAGTGACACCTAGGGCCTGGCCTCCGCCAAGAAACCATATCTTTCTCGGAAGGAAGCAAGACAAGCCTTACGATCAACATACCTATACCCTAACGGCCCTAAACCCTAAACCCAAACCCAAAACCGCAAAGGCCTTCTACTTGAAATCTGCAGAAACCGAGGGCGCCATCAACATGGACCCACAAGCCCAGGGATGTACCGAAATCCCAACGCAAGCGGGCAAAAGGCAACCTTCCGCCTCCACATTTCTCATTTCTCTTTTTCTTTATCCTTCTCCTTCGCCTGGATAGGCATGCTGAAATCCTGGTCCCTAGACCTTAAGCCCCCCAACCACAAGACCTGAGCCCTAACAAACAAAGCCTAACCCTGCAACGGAGCAAATGGGAACGTGAACCTCTGTCGTGGGGCACGCTCCGAACACCCCCTCTTGACAAAGCAAAGCAGACCTTCAACTAAAGAGGGATCCTTGTTCTGGTGTGAACTACTTTGCGACCCTAAACTCCAAACCGCAGCATTAGCCCAAATTCAACGCACGAATCCTACCCACATTGCCCGCAGTTCTGAACTCTGACCCCTAAGCCCTTTTCACGGGAGATTCGGTCCTTGTCCTTCGCCTTCTTGTCCTTCAGCCAGCAGTCAACTCGCAGGATAACGGGCTTAGATTCAAGAATAGCATTCCCCACAAACCTGTCCTGCCATCATGTCTATCTGTGTAGAGAACTTTGACAATCTTGCGGTCTTGGGAATCACGGAAAGGACTTAGATTAGCAAGTCTGTCATATTTGGGGTTTGCATGCAGGTAGCCGGCCTGGACCTATGCTACAAAGAACGCTACGTACCTATAAGCTACTTACTACGCCCCTCCCTAACCACTATACCCTCCCAACCCTAAACCCTAAACCATAAACAGGTGCCCTTGGGTACCCAGGGTTTTAAGGTTTAGGGTTTAGGGTTTAGGTGTTTAGGGGGTGTGGATGTTTAGGCAGGTCCTTTTCTCTCTCTTTCTCTTTCTCCTTTTGCCGGTCGGTCTCCTTCGGCTTGTCCTGGGTTGTTAAATCTGAGGCGCGTGAATGTATGTATAAATAGGTACCTCTATAGGGAAACTTGGAGAAATTGTAATTTCCCAAAGTGCCACCTAGTCTCCTTATCCTTCTTGCCTTTCTCTTTCTCTTTCTCCTTCTTGTCCTTTTCCCTGCCCTTGTCCTGCGCAGATGCCACCACTGACAGGGTGCTTTTGCTTGGACTTCTGTTCAAGAGCAGCAAGTTTCTCTATATGGGGCTCTATAAAGGAAGCCGGAATAATAAAGCCCACTGAAAGTCGCAAATCTCAACGTGCCGCCAGCCAAGAAGTGGAGAATCTTTGGATGTGGAAGTGACGCAAACCACACAAAACGAGCAACGCAGCCGAAACTCTAAAACCTAAATCGTACCTGAACCGAGTCCTTGCCCTTGTCTTTAGCCTTTTGCCGCGAGCTGCTGGAGTCACTGCTGGCCCTCTTCTTCCTAGCCGCCTGTCGCACCCTCTTTGTGGAGCTCTTGAAGGGATTCGGGTTTAGGGCTTAAGGTTTTTGTAGGATGATTTAGGGCTGGGGGTTCTTTTTTCAGGTATTCTATGAAAAGGTCTTGAGGGTGCATCAGGACTCTACCAAGTTCGTCTACAAGCGGTCCTTCCTTTTTTCCACGGTTAGAATTCCCAACGAGCCCATAAATCACCCTGAACTAAAGGGCTAGGGGCGGTGTAGGCTTTCGGGGCTTAGGCCCTAAACCCTAACCCCTACACCCTAAACCCTAAATCCTAAACCCTAAACCCTAAATAGATGATAGCACAGCCCGGAAGCCAGATAGCACAGCTCGGAAGCCAGATCCAAAGACCAAAGACTCATCAAGCGACGAACTCAGGGGCCTCAACAACCAGACAAGGGCTTGGGCTCCGTTATCGTAGAAGTCTTCATGCAATGAAGTACCCCGGAGGAATGATATTGGTTAATCGTCGAGGCTTTTTATACTACTTCTCAAAGTGCAACCAGGGACTCTTATCACAGAGCCCCCACTTCAACTCCCTGGATGAGACGTAAAACGAAACAATGTAAAAGCCTCCATAATTAGAATGGGGTTTTTGGGGCCCATTATACTAAACTTTTAATAGGGAGCCCCCACAATAGTATTGGTAATTAGCTAGGCCCTACATCAAGGTGGAAATGCTGCACACGCTTTGAATCCTGGAGCTCCCACTCTTAACACCACGTCTATACCATGATGTCCTAAACCCTAAATTAGGCTTTAGGCTTTAGGGTTTAGGGCTTAGGGTTAAAATCCTCAACCGAATGACATGAACTGCACAAGAAATAGCTTCCCTCAAGCAGGGAATCCTATCATCCACGGGAGGGTTAGGCTTTAGCGCTTACTTCTGACAAAAAAACTAACAAAAATCGAAGTGGAGACGAACCGCTGAAGGGTGTTCCGCATACACCTAGCTGACTAGCCGCTCTGCATGTTAGTCTCACATCTTGTTCATCATGTACTTTAACCAAACAGGACGAACTTGCTCCCTAATTCCATTGCTAACCATGTGTGCAACTCAATATCAGCGACAACTCGACTACAATCACCATCAGTCACCAACTTTCCGGGTCTACAGTCAGCTTCTCTAGACCGTTGCAGCTACTTGAACCAGAGCCTTAATCAAACCCTACACCTTGCCAGTATATGGCTGCAGATAGCGCTACACATGTCAGGCTGGCATTCCCGTCACACTTTGCAGGGGCTGATGGGTTGAGGGGCCTTGAGAAATCTTTCAACAATAACACCAACTCTTAAGCAACCACACATTTGCTTATGGGGGTGTGCATCGGGCAATGCTACTGAAAGACAAATGGCACGATTGTCACGGTTTTTGTATGCATATGCGCGCAAGAGCATTCCGCAAGCCCAGCCGGCAGAAGAACAGGAAAGCGCATGAATAGTGAAAACTCAGTATGACGACGCGCGAAGCCTAAACTGTGCTCCGGAAGCCTGTACGGCGACGGAAACAACCTATGCTGTCACAGTGGAAACCGGGTGCCACGAAGCATGCCAAACAGTTGGGGACAACAAGCTCGCTAAAAGAACCACATTCCAGACAGGCCATTGATCCTACTAACGAGCTATAGACAAGGCCTGTTCCTTACTTGAGGGGAATGGGAGAAACCCAACGTGCACCCAAAGGTCATTCTAAGTGCGAAAAGACGGTGCAAGATTTAGCATGGAGTGCTCTGCTTGAGTACAGCACATATAGACGCGCTTGCAAGAAATTCGCGCGAGTGCGTTCGGACCCAGCTACCACGTGCCAGGACTTCGGCAGCAGTCAAGAAGAGAATGGCTCGACTATCGAAATTTTCCAGAATGGGTACGACCAATGTTCATGGGTCAATGACTCAATGACGTCCAGCATTGCTTCAGACGTGCACACAAACATTGCCCCGCTGAGCGGCAACAGCATGTAGCTGAGGTCCAAAATTGACCCCGACGACATGAAAAGCCTCGTATCAAGCCAGGAATCTTTTTGATTAGGCATTCAAGAATGAGCATCGAAACAACGCCTGTGCTCAGGTCACCGCTACCAGCACCGAGAACATTAGCAGCAATAGAAATCATAATGAATGAGAAGACTGGTGCAGCACCACGCCTTGCTGCTCCTACTGCGCTTCCGTCGGCTGCGGCTGCGGCTGCTGCTGCTGCTGCTGCTCCTGGCCGGACAGCACTCAGGACAAGTTAGCATGAGCCTTCAAACCCCAGGTGGTTTCGACGTGCAGGATGTTTGAGGACATCATGGTGACACTGCGCAGACCAGCACACATGCTCGACCCACTAGGCACGCTATGACGCTATAACACAACCGCCTCCTGAAAAAGGAGCCATAACCACACTCAATTTCTGCAAGTTCCCTGACACGAACTAACAAAAAACAATATGTAAAAAAACATAAAAACAAACGAAGCTTATAAACAAAAAACAACAAAAACAAGAACAAAAACAACTCCCCGTGTAACCCCTCGGAATCCCGGGCCCCCCGATGCCTCCGCCGCCGTTTTCGGCTCCGGCTCCGGCTTCGACTGCTGCTTGGGCTCCTTTGGTCACCCTAAAATTGAAGGTTATAGGGTTTAGGGTTTAGGGTTTAAGGGTTTAGGGTTTAGGTTTAGGGTGTAAGGGTTTAGGGGTTTAGGGTTTAAGGGTTTA